TTCTTTCCTTCCTTCCTTTCCGCCTCCCTCCCGCCTTCTCTCCTTCTCCCTTCTTTCTTCCTTCCTCCCCTCCTCCCTCCCTCCCTTCCTTCCCACCTCCCTTTCTTTCTTCCTTCACTCACCTCCCTTCCTTCCTTTCCACCTGTCTGCCTCCTTTTCTCTTTCCTTCCTTCCTTCCTCCCTCCCTCCCTCCTTTTCTCCTCCTCCCTTCTTTCTTTCTTCCTTCCCTCACCTCCCTTCCTTCCTTCCCACCTGCCTGCCTCTTTTTCTCCTTCCTTCCTTCCTTCTTTCCCTCCTCCCTCCCTCCTTCTCTCCTTCTCCCTTCTTTTATCCTTCCCTCACCTTCCTTCCTTCCCACCTGCCTGCCTCTTTTTCTCCTTCCTTCCTTCCTTCCTTCCTTCCTTCCTTCCTTCCTTCCTTCCTTCCTTCCTTCCTTCCTTCCTTCCTTCCTTCCTTCCTTCCTTCTCTCTAATGAGAAACTAATGAGAGCGGCTCCGCTTTTTTTTTTTTTCACCCCGCGCCCGTTGGGTTTTTCCGCCAACAGGGACCACCAACAGCTTCGAGACGCTGGACATCGCCTTCGAGAACATCTCGCTGCCCTGGCAGGCGAGCCAGCGGCTGGTCCAGCCCCGCCTGCAGCGGGAAGCCCGCCTCCACGAGCGCCAGGCCGCCTTCCCCGTCGGCAAGCCCTTGCCTCGCTACTTCCTGGTCTCCAACCCGGGACGGAAGAACCGCTGGGACCAGGCCCGAAGTTACCGCCTCCAGCTCAACTCCCACGCCGGACTGGTCCTGCCGCGACACTGGAAGGAAGAGAATGGCATTCCCTGGAGCAGGTAAGCCAGAGGCGAGACGAGGCGGGGCAGGCGGCAAATCCTACGGGGCGAGGGCTGCGGATGGATACCCCCCTCTCCCCAAGTCTTTGGGGGTCTTCACTAGAGTGGTAGTTCCTCCGTCCTGAGATCCGGCCTGTAGATTTCCTCTCCTCTCCTCTCCTCTCCTCTCCTCTCCTCTCCTCTCCTCTCCTCTCCTCTCCTCTCCTCTCTTCTC